CAGGTAGTATTGATCGTCCTCCACCAGTGAAGAAAAACTTAGGTGCGTCACAGGGCGAGAATGTCCATGGCAAGTCAAGGGGACAACCTTAGAAGATTCTATAGGTCATTTGCACCATTAGTTCCTGATACTAGTAGCTGCTGAGTTCCTTTGCAAACCCAAGGAGATGTGATATTTTTTTTTTTTAAGGTTGAAATTGAATAGCGACAAGAGAAACCCACGACAGGACACGGAGATATGCTTACCAGAAGCCATTTATATAGCCGGCAAAATAAAGAGATTGTAGAGCAAAAATGATAGTGAGAAGGGAAATTGGTTACTGTATAAGTGAAAAAGGGGACCAGATTTAGAATTCCGCAGGGGGTTAAGCTAGAGAATGCTCTGTATTTGAAACTGTCTTGGGAAAAGAGAAAAAGATGGAGTGACGTCTTGCGACAGATAAAAAACTATATCACTGAGATTTCCTTTTTATGACAAACTGAGGGAAGAAAAATCATCAGATTCGTTACGGCGTTCCAGTCGTAAAAATGGCGGTGGTATTAAGGTGGAGAAAACTAGAAGAAAGGAGGGGAGTGGTGGAGTTAGGGAGTGCGGGAGTGCGGGAGTGCGGGAGCGGGAAGAGAAAGACGTTAAAAGAAAGAAAAAAAGAAGAAGGGCAACAAGTGTAAGAACTGGTAAAGAAAGGATAAAGGGGGAGGGGAGTGGTATCTGGGTCTACTGAATCCGAGCTGGTGTTGTTTTACCACCGATGGAGCAAGTGAAGTTTTTGTAGTCCTGCGATGAACAAGCATTTTTAAGTTCTAACTACTAACCACTGCAGTCGGTCACTGTCAACCAACGCCTGGCTGCCCGGTCACCCGGGGGCCAACCTGGTGCCAAACTAGGGGCCACCGGGGGACCACATAGGGCCACCTGGGCCACGGGCGGGCATCGCAGCTTGACCGCGTTGGGTCTAGCGAGACGCGCTAGGGACAGAAGCAGTAAGGCGCCACGTCTCGTGACTTGAACACCACAACCCCTGGCCCAGATTCGCCTCATAAAGG